TAACTGAATATTCTTTTTTGGTATAAAAATTTGTCCAAAATATAACACAACTCATGTTTTTTTGAAACTGGAATGCCTACTTATTTTCAAATTCTCAATGTCCTGTCATTCAACAAAAAAGACATAATGTTATATTCGACAAAACAAATGGTTTTTAGTTTTTGCATACCCCAGTTACAGAATGTTGGGTTCCTCTCAAAAGAGAGTATGAAAAAAAAGTTTTCTATTTAGATCTGTTTAAAAAATCTGTTTTTCCGAAAACCAGCTGTCGCACCCCTACGAACGACAACCCTCAGAAGTCGAAACTTGTTCGAGCTAAGGATTAACGGGATCTTTCCTTTTAACGTGTGATTCCTAACACGGAATCAATATCAATATCACTTATCAGTGCAGTAGGCAAAGTTATCAAGCAAGCTATCAAGAAACGTATTCTGGAATGCTTAGAAAAAAATAATATACCCTCTCCGAAAGAGTTTGCATTCAGACCAGGCCTAAAAAATCAACAAGAGATGCAATAATATGTGTTATAGATAATATCGACTTTGGATGATGAAAAATATATTTATATCTCGCTGAGGCCTTCGATACCGTCAATCATGAAAAGTGTATTGCTGTTGTGGAAGACACAGTATGTACAAATAGATAATGAGGTGAGCGAACCGCAAACAGTAATAACAGGTATACCCCAAGGTATAGTTTTAGGACCATTGGTGTTTTTAATTCACATCGACAATCTGCTCTTTCTCGAAATAGACGCGAGGTTATCATCATTTGCTGATACTCTAACTTGGAAAGAATTGGTAAGAAAGTAAAAAGTACTCTTACGATAATGAAAAGCTGGTTTAATAGAACAAACCTCACTCAAAATTCGTTACCCAATTATGTAATGAACATAATTTCACAAACATTGATCTAATTTCTTTAGCGGAAAGTACCAGAATTATTTGTTATTGGGAATCTAATTTATATCATTATCATAAAAGATTTTCAGAAGTTTCACAAATCATTTCAAAATGCATAAATCCACTGAAAATACATCCACTTCAAAAAGTGAAGAATTGGAAGCGTCGACTTTCATAGTGGACTAGCAGAGACACTATTTTTCAAATGAATCGAATGGTGTTTTTTCAATTCAGAAACTTATTCAAATTCATTTTTCCGTCTTGGAAATTGAATTTTTTACAAACTGAGGAAGATAATATCAGGAGAACAACATTGTATTGAAAGTTTGATGCACCAAAAGGCACATGCAAGAATAATTAAAAATCAACAAAAGAGTAGTATTACCAAATTTCCATCAGAGACCCAAGAGAATATTCAAACTTCATATTTTGTTTTTATCATTCTTCTTTGTTTTCAGAAGCAGAATTTACTCTTTGCATAGAAATACTGAGAATGTTGTGCGATATAGTGTGTAAAGGCTAAACAATCAACTGAATACACTAAGGAATAACCCAGAGTAAACAATCCGAAAATACATAAAACTAATGGATAGACCTAAGAAAATAATACCCTTGAATCGTGTAAAACACTGTGGGAAACGATTGAGAGTTATTTATGAACTTCTGGCAATATTGAATTATTTGATCACTGTACTTGTAAGAAATCCATACGCAATGCTGCTGTAAATTTTTCATGAAAAATTTGGACAATAGAACGGAATTCTTATAATATCAGCTCACACTGAGCTCTTTCAGTCATATTCATGATATCCTTGTATCCAATGTTGATTTTCATCAGAATAACAGGCTAGTACAAAAATTGCCTTATATGAATAAACTCTGGGCATGGAATACTTGCAACATTCAGTTCATCGATTGAAGTTACTTTCAATAATTTCATGTACGAGACGTATTCTAACTTCATTAAGATGCACTGAGAGAAATTCAAATCCATAAATAATCCCCGCACACTACAGAGTGGATTTTCAACTATAGACATAATTCAGTTCTGTTGGATATTTTCAGAAATTGTTAATTATGCCAAAGGTCTTCTCAGTGTAAAACAACTCATACGGTGATTTACGCCTTGTTAATCATTAGCAACTTTCTTCGTTACGATCCGATGGTTTCTCAAAGAATGAATATCAACAAACAAAGTATTTCTTGCGATTCAGTTCCTAATTACAATAGAAACAACCTGAAGTTGTCAACTTGGTGATGACTTTTATGAAAATATGTTACCTGTAAAAAATCGATGTTAACAATTGAACCATCAAATGAGCTAGTAACATTGTTTTGGTTGAAATAACCAAATGCAAGAATCTCTAACTTTGAGTGACGAACAAATTTTTTGAAAATAAACGAATAATTTTTTGACAGGTCCTCATCGGATGTACTTGTTGAAAAGCCCTGAGACGGAGAGTACAGCACAAACCAACTCCTTAACACGGAAAACTGCTCTCTATAGACATATGTGCTACAGTTGTATCTGAATAGTAAATCACGACTCGCCAAGAGCCGTTTAGATTTCAGAACGTTTAGGAAACAAATTGAATCTATAGTTCGTCTTCAGCTGAGTGTGTTCATGAGTATTTTTTTTTTGTTTACTCTAATTTAATAATATTTTAACCATTCATTGCGAGATTCCAACTATAAGGGTTTCACAAAAACCGCGACACGTGTTTTCTTATGAAATAGCTCACTCAAGCGGAAATGTTTGATGGGATGAAAAATCTTCCCAAAAATGTAGTTATAATAAGTAAAATTATAACCAATACTGTATTTTGAGTTTCAAGAACAAGTAACTGAGACAATATGGGTTTGCGTGCGAACCGTACGAATAATCAAATCAGCCATGACAAAATAGAAAATAGTGAGAAAATACCTTTTCTAATCCAAATAGAAAGGAATGTATCAAAAATTCCGAATGTGTGATGAATGATTTGACAATTTTACGATGATGCGTTAATAAGTTCCATATCAAAGGGAAACAAGTTCCTAGGCTTAGGGAAATTCCTAACACTAATATCCGAAATATTGACTATCGGGGTAGCAGGGAATCTTTGCAAAGAGAAATTCATAAACCCATTGTGTGAAAGCTATTTTTCGGGTTTTATCGGTCGTGGTCTGCCTAACGTATCGTTCGCCACTGCGGTAAACAGCGATGTGATAACGGTTGCAGTTGTTTTTCCCGTTGTTCCAAACGCAGTAACCCATTATACCCATTATTAACACGAAGTGTACTGATATTGCACAACTCGTACTTGTGACAGTATATTGATTGAAATCGAGTAGAGATCGGTAGAATGAAGTGCAAAAGACACTTGTTCGTCTCGGGACCCCCGACACATAATAAACGAATACTACGTGCTTGCTGGTTAGATTTTCATAATAATATCAACAGTATTTGTCTATCGCGCACTATAGACTGAGCGTCCGTCCGACGAGAGAAGAGGAGTCTGCCTTCAGCTGACGTATGCGTGAGATAAAGTGAAGCCAGACGGATTGGTGCTGTAAGGCGTTATAGGTAACGAAGCGGTTCACCCTACCATAAGAAGTTAACACTTCAAAAACTCCCAAATAGAATGTACAGATGAGTATGCGAAAGCTAATATGATCTTGAAATTCAAGAGTAGAAACTACTCACAAACGGAAAGATTGGTCAGGAAAAATACTGGTGGGTATTTGCTCAACAGCATATTCATCAAAGGATAAAATATACTTCGCTGAAATATCATTAGTTTTTCAGAGTTGAAAAGTGTAGTCAGTGTCGGCAGTAAAATCATATGTACGATTTTACTGCCGAAGTCACGATTAAAGAGATTAAAATGCAGGCTGGTATGTTGTGATTGAATGGAACCTGGTTTACCAAACATTTCGCCTGCTACTGCGCCAGTCACCGTCAGTGAACTCATACCACTGATAATGTATACCGCAATAGCAGACGAAAGTTACTCCTGATGATGTACCTATGCTGCAGTAGCAGATGAAACGTTTGGTACTGCAGCATACATCATGAGTTTGATGAGTAGGAAAAAACAAAACAGTAGAAATTATTGCGATGGTTAAGTTCAAAGTAACAGTTATTGAAAATCGGATATCTACGTGAAAATTATAAATACCTCACTCGCAAAAATATTCCATTGATATGAATTCGAAATCATGCAAGAGTTGTGTATTGTATTAACTCACTTAATACGCCAGCCCATTCCGATGAATAAATTGTACGTACTTTATTATGGAAACTAGTAATGAACCTTCTTCAATGTATTGTTCTTCCCGTTATTGAAATGCTAGAACACTTTCATAGAGCCAAGTTTATTGAAAAAAAAATCATAATGATTGTCATTACCTCTACATATGTTGCACCATTCGAGAAAGCACCATAAAAAGAAGAACATGTTGTGGAATTGGCCGCGGTGGTAGTGCGCCCGACTTACGATCGGAAGACCGTGGCTTCGATTCCCGCCCCGACCAGATATTTTTCTCGAGAGAATTTATCTGGTTGAAGCTGGAATGATTCTGTAACCGTGTTAGGAATCACACGTTAAAAGGTAAGACCTCGTCCCTAGCTCGCACAAGTTTCTCAACTTCTGAGAGTTGTCGTTCGTATGGGGGCGACAGCTGATTAACGGAAAAACAGATTTTAAACAGATTTCAATTCTTGCAAATATTACCAACGATTCTAATGATTCCCTTCAGTTAAGATATTCAGCTAGAAATACTTAATCCATTAACAGACATTTTCAAGACTCTTGGGTATTAACTTATTTCAAGGAGTGTATTCATTCTACAATGCAAGCTTCCTCATACTTATCATCCTCATTAGCGGAAAATTCTCCGAAATGAAGTACGTTTACATGAAAGATAACAAAGGATGAATTAAAAATGGAATTATATTCTCGTCTGCGGGTTCCACAAAAGATTACATATATTTCCGTGGCTTGGGAAAAAGGTGATTTCTATCTGATTCATGTATACCCACGATTATTATATCCGTATTATATACTTCGAAGCGATAACCAGTATAATTCACACATGTTTTAATCAAGAACTCACCGCTTTTAGTAATTCACACACAATGACATAGCGAAATAAGTTATTCGCAAGAAGTCTACTACACTTGGTAATCGTGTACCGATTAGACTTTTATTAATTTGATAATTGTTGATCCACAGTTGACCTTCATCTTACATATACATATGAGTGCCTTAATAATGCATGTCCATGAATTTCAATTACTTTTAATAAATAAGTATTCATGCCATGACGAGTTGCATTTGAATAATGTTTCTTGAACCTTTATGTACAGCAAATTGAACGCTTTTGAAGGGAAACTCCTGTTTTTGAACTCGATAGATGAAAACTGATAGCTGTCTTTGAGGGTCAAATTTTATGACAAACTCAATGGTGAAAACCGCTTATCGATATCTATCATCGTTTTTAACTACTATTGAACAATTTCTTTCTGTTTTATCGCCTCGTCGTCCGAAGCCTACTTGATTAAAGTGTGCGTTTCAAAGTCTACATGAAAAAACCTAAAAGCTATGTATTTGAAAGCTGACCCTAGTAATTACATCACAAATATAGCACATCAAGTGTGCTACATTTTTGAAATGATAATTTTAAGCTCCATTGAAATATGTAGGAATATACAAGGTGTTCCATTAAATAAATAGTCTTCCATCAATAACTAAGGATGTTTAACAAACAAGATGATTCGCAGAGACCACCACAAGCATGAAGGTCATTGCTGTCATGCAAGATACCTGAAAATAACGGAGGTACCTAGTTCGGCAGACCGGACACCTGCAACAATACATCTACCTCTCTATATCTGTCCAACAATATAAATGTTGGCCCCAAACAGCAAAGTGACCAGTACAAACTTAGAGCTGAACACAGCAAGCATAGAGCTAGTGACGAAACTTGGAGGCAAGGGAGATTGCGACCTCGTGAGCCGAAACGCTGAAGAGATGAAAACAATGAAAACTCCAGAACAGCATTGTCATATTATATAATGAAATTAATTAATTTCGGTGTATTTGGGCCCTTATCTTTGAATTTTGTTAATGAAATTTGCAGAAGGACAACTGGAGAAACTGGAGCGAAAAGATTTACCACCTTTCTGATCCAAAAAAATATGTTCAGCTATACATCGTGGTAATTCAGTTCCTGTTTTGGGTACCATTCCATCATGACATTCACTGGTTGAAATTTTTCTTGCATGCCGTTGTTTTCAAATCATATTCATACCCTAGTCATAATGTGAGATGTATTCCTCATACAAGTTCTGGAATTATCTTCTTGTACAAAATTCCAAACGTTTGCCATGTCTGATTCAGTTTAGGGCAGTTTAGCTTCGAATTCATTATCCCACCAATCCAATCAATGGCTGAATCATTGTATTCCTGATCACAACATTAGATCAGTGATACATTCTTTAGTCAGGACTCTTTGGTTTGATGGGTTGAGAAATATTGAAAACACCTGTTTCATGAACAGTGCAATCCAATGTTTATCAAACACGAGGTGGTTGCTGAAATATCCAAGAAAGGATACATACGTGGATGATAACAATACTAGTATTATTAATATGAAAGGTGCTTTGATCAAAGCGTTCGCAGAAGTTGTCAAGGAATTGTGATCAGAAGATTCATAAGATTCATCTCCCTAATTTACAAGTCAGATTCAAAGATTTGCCTCTCGATTCATGGGTTCTGCTCATCAAGACGTCCAGGAATTTCTTCGATATCTTTTATAAGATATACATGAAGACCTTAATAGAATAACTGAGTTTGCCATAACGCTTGGATTTCTTCACAAGAGAGGAAACTCTTGATGAAGATGAAAAACCAACGTGTTCGAGGTGCAAGGAAAGAAGAAAATGTACAAAGTCCTTATCAATCCATAAGTTTTCCCGTATTTTAGTAACCTATTGCCATACCTATAAGCCGGCACGATATTAATGTCGAAATGCCTAAAAATAACTAGACCACGTGGTAAGAATGAAATTGTTCAAGTAAACTTGGATCTTAATATTCATCACAACGAATGCAACGAATATCATATTATTGTAAAATAGAATTCTAAACTGTACTAATCTATATAAAAATGAAGATAACAGGTACTCAGTTGAGAGCTCCACTCTCTCCACTCTATCAAGCTTTTGAAAATGTTAATTGTCTACATTATGAAAAGTTTATGGTCAAATACAAAAATAAAATATAATTTCTGAAAATTTACTGGTGAAATGAGTCAATGACGAAACTAATGAAATGATAAAAATATAGTACATTTCAATTGTTGATGAAATTCATTGAGATATTTTGAACATTCGCAATACATGCTAATCAAGATTGTTGTTTACGAGAAATTGCCCACGAAATGGGGATTTCTGTAAAATCCACCAGAACTATTTCGAAAAAGNTGTTGTCACTGATGATGGTGGTTATTTCAAATAAAACGCTATAAAAATATCAAATGTGATATGCCCTTAGATTGTGAATTTATCGCTTCATCAATAGGTATCTGTAATAAAAAATAGAGATCCGTATTTTAAAAAAAGTTGATGGTGGCCATGTTGACACGAGACATTTTATCGAATATTTATCATTACACCGTCATAGAATATCTCGAATACAATAACATTTTTCTTTTCATTCTTCTGATATTCTCCGAAATTACAATTCCATACAAAAATAAACGAAAACAGCATTTTTGGTTCTCCCCGTAAATTTCCTCCGACCATGATAAAAGAAACGGCGTGTATAAAATAAACATTTTTGCGAAATTTGAATCTCATGACAGCGTTTTAGGCTGCTGTTTTAGGAAGTAAACTCAACTTGCCGTATTAAGCACAAACTTGAAAAAAAATACCATTCGGCCAAACGG